TGGGAATAGAATAGTTTTAGTTTTCTTCGTTAAATAATGGGCGCAGTAAGTAATTGTTGCGTTTTGCTTTCTTTATTTTGAAAATTTCTTTTCGAATATTGAAATCTTTTATTTTTTTACTCCTGTTTCACTATTGTTGCTAGATTGTGGTCGTTGTTGTTGCCACATTACCTTCTACAATATTTTGTTAAAAAACGTATTCATGTCTTTCTGTTTCCTTGTTGGGGGAAATGTACAACTTTATTTATATATTTTTATATTTTTCTTTATATTTAGTTCTTCTTTTCCCACAAGTTCAATGAACTTTTCGTTGGGATTTTGTTGGTGGTAAAATTAATGAGTTTCTTGTCAGAAGGTGGAATTTGGTTTGCCTTAGTTAGTTAATATTAATTAATGTAGTTTGGATATTCAGAGAAGGAGAGGAATATTGCAACCAATTAATGGCAAATTGTTAAGATAATATTAAGGATAACAAGTGAATTAAACAATACTAAGCTGTCAAATTATGTTAACCATTCAAACTGTCAAAATAACACTTAAGCTGTTGTGTTTTTGACATTTAAGATGTGAAGTCTATAAAAAGAAAATTTTATGAAAATTTAACGGAAATTGTCTATAAAAACAAAATTTTAAATTGTCTATAAAAACGAAATTTTACGAAAATTTCTATAAAAAGGAAAATTTATCAAAAATGTTCTATAAAAGAGAAAGACAAAGAGAGAAGAGAAGAGAGAAAATTTTCTATGAAAAGAAAATTTATCGAAAATTTTCTATGAAAAGAAAATTTATCGAAAATTTTCTATGAAAAGAAAATTTATCGAAAATTTTCTATGAAAAGAAAATTTATCGAAAATTTTCTATGAAAAGAAAATTTATCGAAAATTTTCTATGAAAAGAAAATTTATCGAAAATTTTCTATGAAAAGAAAATTTATCGAAAATTTTCTATGAAAAGAAAATTTATCGAAAATTTTCTATAAAAAGAAAATTTATCGAAAATTTTCTATAAAAGAAAATTTATCGAAAATTTTCTATAAAAAGAAAATTTATCGAAAATTTTCTATAAAAAGAAAATTTATCGAAAATTTTCTATAAAAAGAAAATTTATCGAAAATTTTCTATAAAAAGAAAATTTATCGAAAATTTTCTATAAAAAGAAAATTTATCGAAAATTTTCTATAAAAAGAAAATTTATCGAAAATTTTCTATAAAAGAAAATTTATCGAAAATTTTCTATAAAAAGGAAATTTTTCGAAAATTTTCTATAAAAAACAAATTTATCGAAAATTTTCTATAAAAAGGAATTTTATCGAAAATTTTCTATAAAAAGGAATTTTATCGAAAATTTTCTATAAAAAGGAATTTTATCGAAAATTTTCTATAAAAAGGAATTTTATCGAAAATTTTCTATAAAAAGGAATTTTATCGAAAATTTTCTATAAAGAGGAAATTTATCGAAAATTTTCTATAAAGAGGAAATTTATCGAAAATTTTCTATAAAAAGCAAATTTATCGAAAATTTTCTATAAAAAGAAAATTTGTCGAAAATTTTCTATAAAAAGAAAATTTGTCGAAAATTTTCTATAAAAAGAAAATTTATCGAAAATTTTCTATAAAAAGAAAATTTATCGAAAATTTTCTTTAAAAAGAAAATTTATCGAAAATTTTCTATATAAAGAAAATTTATCGAAAATTTTCTATAAAAAGAAAATTTATCGAAAATTTTCTATAATAAGAAAATTTATGGAAAATTTTCTATAAAAAGAAAATTTATGGAAAATTTTCTATAAAAAGAAAATTTATCGAAAATTTTCTATAAAAAGAAAATGTATCGAAAATTTTCTATAAAAAGAAAATTTATCGAAAATTTTCTATAAAAAAAAAAATTTATCGAAAATTTTCTATAAAAAGAAAATTTATCGAAAATGTTCTATAAAAAGAAAACTTATCGAAAATGTTCTATAAAAAGAAAATTTATTGAAAATGTTCTATAAAAAGAAAATTTATCGAAAATGTTCTATAAAAAGAAAATTTATCGAATATGTTCTATAAAAAGAAAATTTATCGAAAATGTTCTATAAAAAGAAAATTTATCGAAAATGTTCTATAAAAAGAAAATTTATCGAAAATTTTCTATAAAAAGAAAATTTATCGAAAATGTTCTATAAAAAATTTATCTCAAATTTTCTATAAATAAAAAAATTTTATTGAATATTTTCTATAAAAGAAAAATTTTAACAAACATTTTCTATGAAAAGAAAATGTTAACGAATATTTTCTATATAAAGCAATTTTTAAAAAGAATTTTATATAAAAAGAAAATTTTATGATAATTTGCTATAAAAAGAAATTTAACAATTTTTTTTTTTCTTTAATCAGAAATTTTAAAAATTTAGAAAAATTTGTTAAAAAGTCCGAAGTTTGTTTTATAATTACAAAACGTTCCGGTTATGGTTTGAAACCGAAATAATTTTACTCCGAAAACTAGCAACATTTAAAACAGTTATTATTTAGGAACTAACGTATTAATTAGTCAAGACAACAACCGTTCAATTTAGCTACATAAAGTAGTGGAATGTAGTTGTGTATTGTAACTAAGTTATGCTACACAACGTTAGATGGCGCCACATACATACTAACTAATAAATATCAAAAGTAGACATCATTTATTATTTTTATGGAAAAAATAACATGTTCCTATTTTGAAAAATATATAAAAATTTCTGATATATAATTTGAAAATCTTAAAATTTAATTGAAAATCCTAAGTAATTTACTAATTTTTTTAATGTATGTTTGTATGTGAATCTGTTAATTTTAAATTAATATAAATTAAGCAACTTTTTATAGACGTTTAATACTAGGGGCAGGAGCAGCGGGCAAACAATTAGGAGCATATTTTTTGTTACTGTTAATTAAGCTATTTGCTATTATAAATGAAACACATTATTTGTAAATATTTTTATATTGATTTTTATTTTTCCATTTAACTTTTTTTAACGGAAAAGGGAAATTATTTGAAAAATAATTAAATCATAAGTTAGAAAAATGAGACAATAAAAAGCATGAATTAAAGTACTCATCAAATCAATAAAAAAAAAAATTTAAAAGAATTTTGAGAATTTTTGTTAATTCGTAAACGAAAATTGTTTTTATTGCCAAAATTTACCACTTCTTCTATGTTTTAAATAAAAAGTCATATTAACCTACTGAATCAGAAAGTTTTTAAAATGAAATACATATAAATATTTAATAGTTCAACTAATTTGTTCTTATTCGAAAAACTATTTGAAAATAATCCTGAAATTGTACGAGTAAAGCTGAGTTTACAGTTTAAATTCGAGCTTAAGTATGGAAAATTAAATTCTCTACGTATGTCAAAAAACTAAATAACAGGAGTTCAGATCTAGTTCAGTTCTAGTTCAGTTCTAGTTTAGTTCTAGTTCAGTTCTAGTTCAGTTCTAGTTCAGTTCTAGTTCAGTTCTAGTTCAGTTCTAGTTCAGTTCTAGTTCAGTTCTAGTTCAGTTCTAGTTCAGTTCTAGTTCAGTTCTAGTTCAGTTCTAGTTCAGTTCTAGTTCAGTTCTAGTTCAGTTCTAGTTCAGTTCTAGTTCAGTTCTAGTTCAGTTCTAGTTCAGTTCTAGTTCAGTTCTAGTTCAGTTCTAGTTTAGTTCTAGTTCAGTTCTAGTTCAGTTCTAGTTCAGTTCTAGTTCAGTTCTAGTTCAGTTCTAGTTCAGTTCTAGTTCAGTTCTAGTTCAGTTCTCGTTCAGTTCTAGTTCAGTTCTAGTTCAGTTCTAGTTCAGTTCTAGTTCAGTTCTAGTTCAGTTCTAGTTCAGTTCTAGTTCAGTTCTAGTTCAGTTCTAGTTCAGTTCTAGTTCAGTTCTAGTTCAGTTCTAGTTCAGTTCTAGTTCAGTTCTAGTTCAGTTCTAGTTCAGTTCTAGTTCAGTTCTAGTTCAGTTCTAGTTCAGTTCTAGTTCAGTTCTAGTTCAGTTCTAGTTCAGTTCTAGTTCAGTTCTAGTTCAGTTCTAGTTCAGTTCTAGTTCAGTTCTAGTTCAGTTCTAGTTCAGTTCTAGTTCAGTTCTAGTTCAGTTCTAGTTCAGTTCTAGTTCAGTTCTAGTTCAGTTCTAGTTCAGTTCTAGTTCAGTTCTAGTTCAGTTCTAGTTCAGTTCTAGTTCAGTTCTAGTTCAGTTCTAGTTCAGTTCTAGTTCAGTTCTAGTTCAGTTCTAGTTCAGTTCTAGTTCAGTTCTAGTTCAGTTCTAGTTCAGTTCTAGTTCAGTTCTAGTTCAGTTCTAGTTCAGTTCTAGTTCAGTTCTAGTTCAGTTCTAGTTCAGTTCTAGTTCAGTTCTAGTTCAGTTCTAGTTCAGTTCTAGTTCAGTTCTAGTTCAGTTCTAGTTCAGTTCTAGTTCAGTTCTAGTTCAGTTCTAGTTCAATTCTAGTTCAGGAAGAACTGTATCAGATAATTAGAGAGGGTTAGTTAAGATTTTATTGGTAATGAGATTTAAAAATAAAAACATGATTATTATATCCCAATTTCTTATCCCTTACTGGAAAACTTCTTTAAAAAAGAAAGTATTCGTATTCAAAACAATTTTTGAAGTATTTTTACAAATATTTTATTAATATCATTTTTTTGTTGATTGTTCTTTTGAAATCGTTATTTTTTTAAAAATAATAATCATAATAATAATATAAGTATAACTTAAAATTGTTATTGTTTTTAATAAAACTTAAAAATAAAAAACACAAATTTTAAATAATAAAATACTTAAAAATAATTTTTTTAATTTTTTTTCTTTTTTTTCATAAGTCAAGTGATTTTAGGCAAAAAACAAATGCTTTTTTTGAGTTTTTCTTTCTAAAGAAACTAACAATAATTGAGGATGTTTAATTTCAAAGTTAAAAATTTCGAAATAATAAAATAGATTTTGAAATTAAAAAAAAAAAAAAATTATCAAATTTAAATGCTGCTTAAACTACAAATTTAGCTGAAAATATAGGGAAAGAGAAATATTAAATATAAAATACTTGATGGATAAAATTAAGGCTTAAACGAGAAATATATTGAAATAATTTTTTTATAGATAATTAATAATAATAATAATAAGTATTGAAAATAATAATAAAATCATTGGCACAAGTTGCAGTCTAATATTAAAATTATAAAAATTATTAAATTGTTTAAAAAAATAAGAAATATATACAAAATGTTTGGTTAAGAGAAGAGAAAACATATTAAACATTAAGATTATTAAGGTTAAAATTAAATATTAAGGATTTGATCTGGTTTTTTTAGAAAATATAAATTGCACTTAAAGAAATAATTAAAAACTTAATTTGATATAAAAAAAAAAACTACTTAAAAAACTTCTAACAAAATTCAAAAATAATGTCGGGTCAGTATTTTGAAAAATAAGTGCACTTAAGTGGGTGAATTTTTCGATTTTCTTTTGGAATCGAAAAATATATATGTAACAACATTTAACAAGATTTTTTTTTTTTGGATTTCTTCCTTTTCTCAAAATAAGGCTATAGCTATAACAATTATGATGCCAATAATTATAAGACACAGTGTAAACATATCATCGGTATTGATGATACCTAATGTACAAGCGACAACTAGATGCTCTAAGAGAGTCAAACTATTCACCATTTGACGTTGTTCACCCAAAACATTAACCACCATATTGGAGTTGGCTTTCGAACTGGTTGAGGGTAATTCATCGGGGTTTTGTGGCTGCCAGACACGCAATCTTAAGTCAGTTTCAGTAGTGGTAGTAGTAGTAGGAGTTTCTTCTTTGTCTCCTTCAGTAGCTTTTGGTATATCTTCTGATTTATCCATTTCCTGTTTTAAATTTTCACTTAACTTTTGACAATCTTCAGTTAATTGTTGCAAACTTAAGTTGTCTTCTTCTAGAGAGTCTTTTGTGGATTCCTCTTTATTAACACTAAATTCATAATTAATTCTCTCTTCCATGATATTCATTTCTAAATGTGGTGTCTCTATAACAATGCTGCGCTTGCGTAAAGGTGTCTTTGTTTTAGTTTCCTCTAAACATAATGACTCTTCAATATCTAGTTTTAGAGAGTTGTAATTCTCTCTTAAAGATTCTTCTTCCTCTGCTTCATTTTCCTCTTCCACTAAACAATCTATTTCTTTGAGTTCTCTTTCTCTTAAAGCTTTTTCTTCTAAAGCTTTTACCTCTGCCATAATCTCATCTCTAGCCCATATAATTCTCTCTCCCATTAGCTCATGATCTTCTTTAGCTAAAGCTAATTTCTCTCTTAAAACACTTTGCTCTCCCAAAAATTCTTCTGTTTTCTTAAGATTCTCTTCTAGCAGAGTGCGTTCCTTTAAACTCTCCTCCAGTTCCTCAGCAGTGGGTAATCTGGGAAATTCCTCTACTTCCTGGTCTTCCAAATCTTTAACTTCCCCCAACTTTTCCTTACTCTTAGTAGCTATGACCACCTCGCTCTTAAAACAATTTCTAACCTCAAAACGTGTATTGTAATTAGAACTCAATTGTAGACTAACATTTTGTTGGCCCAAGGGAAAATCAGCTAAACTAACATTACCCGAATCGGGATTAGAGGAAGTCTCCTCCAAAGAACTTAACGAATCAAATTGTGTTAGAGGTTGTCCCTCGACCTCCTGCACTTCCCTCATCTTATCTACAAATATACTTAATTTACTAGCATAGATCTTATTAAAATTAGCGGATAATTTTACAGATTCCTCTTTGATTTCCACTAAACCTTCCGGTATAGTTTCTAATCGAGATGAAGAGGAGGGCGTAGATGCAGATGACATGGGAGTAGAGCTAGCATTATTAGTAGTATGTGTACATGAGTTGGGGTTTAATAACAACAATAAACAATCATCATTAGTTTTAGCACAATGATCAATATTATCGATAGTATTAGCAGTAGTATAACATTCTGGGGGGGATGCAGCGTTAGTTTTTAGTTTATCTTGCTCGAGCAATATTAACTCTGGCGTAGTAGCGTGTTGGTTATTAGTTGTCACATCATCTTTACCTGAATTATTTTGTAGTTTTTTCGCTGATTTGGACTTTTCTTCTATGCCAAAGATCATGGCCAATTCTTCGGAGGAATTGTATTGAGATGGCGATGAAGAACGTCCCCGCTGGGTATTGGACGCTATGGTGGCACTGCAATTGCTGATGGGTGTAAGATTTAGCGGTGGCGGTGAGGGTGAATAGCTGAAAGTGCTATTGGTGGTAAGATTCGGTGTAGCACTGGTTGTCGATTGTACATCGTAGGATGTGGTGCTGAAGGTTTTAATGGGATCAGTGCTGGGTGCATGAAAATCACTACTGGGTGATTTGATATAATCACTGGACGAGTAAGGATTAAAAGAGGTAATACTCGACGAGAAACGTCTACTGCCCGAGGGGCTGGAGGACTTGGCCAAACAGTCACTGGACGAGGAGAAAGAGGAGGCAGTGGTACTGGAACCGGGTGCCTTAACAACTTGTTGCTGTTGTTGGTGTTGTGTTACCACTACCGGTACAGCCTTCACTTTGACATTTTGTTCTTGTTGTTTGGCTTGATATTCACATTCCTTCATTATTTGATCAATCTCCTCGATTTGCTGTTTTTGCTTTGGTTTATTGCTGCTGGGTGGTTTACGTGTCTCTGTAAGATTAGAAGTGTTCAAATCATTGGTTGTTGGGTCTTTTGTAACCTGTTGCATATTACACGTTGTAGCCACCGCTATATCCGTTTGATTGAGATTGTCATAGTCATGACCATCCGCCAAATCGCTTAACTGGCGCATACATCTTCTAGCTATAGCTTCAATATTTGTCGAATTTATGGGATCTAGTTTCTTGATCAAGGTGGGCATAACTAGATTGTCTTCTTTTGACGGTTTGCTGTCAGTAGGTGTTTGTGTTACCCGAACGGCTTCCTGCACCACTACTGGTGGTTCAGTGGTTACTATATCCTTAAGTATCTTTTCACACACCTTATTGGCGGCCTCTGATACCTGATCGATGGCCTTTATCAATTTATCTTCTTTGTGCAGTTTACGTGGTTTGGCCACATCATCGCCTTCGTTTGTAGCATTATCGGGCAAGGTGTCCAACAGCATTTCACCACATTTTTTGGCTGCCTGAGACACTTTTTCTATTTCCTGTAACTCCTTGACCAATCTCTCTTCTTCGGGATTGGTTTTCTTAGGTTTGGAGGCGGTAATCAAAGCTTCTTTTCTTAGTTCCTTTAATTCTTGTGTCAATTTTATGCTGCTCTCTTGGGCATCTTGAGCTATCTTATTCAGAGCCTCCTCCATTTTATGGGTGTCTGTATTTTGCGGTTCGGGTGTAAGAGATTTACGTGGCATGGGTACCGGTTTAGGGGGCTTTTCTTCTTCATGACCCGTAGTGCTTAACTTTTCGGGTAGCTGACATATGGCTCCTCCCTGGCTGGGATGACGAAATGGTATATTGGACTTTTTCACTTGATTTTGTTCTCTATCCTGTTCCCTAAGATTTTGCAATAGTTTCAAAGTGGTGGGTATATCACTGGCCGATTCATTTTTATGTAAATTCGACATACTGCCTGAACGTTCCAGGTTTTTGGTTAATTCCAAATAAGAATGCAAATCGCCGCCGGAAGGTTTGGCTGCATCTCTTTGAATCAAAGCATAGATATTGGCCGATTGGGTACGTGTAGCACGATTTTTCTTTAGTAAACTACTCGAAGGATATTGGAATTTGCCTTTATTTTCGCCCGGATCTTTGCGTAAAGCCCGTACCGCCAAATCATCTTTTATTACATCTGGAGCTTTGGCAGTTTCATAAGCCACTGGCTCTTTGCGTTTAGGTGTTACATGCAAATAATCAGTTTGTGCCGCGGGCACTATGGGTCCTAATGGGATACCAAATGGTGGTTGTTTTTCCGACGTTTTATGTTGCAAATTGGCCAATTTTATATTACGATAGGCAACATCATCGCGTACTGGATCTGGTTCTCCAGCAGGTGAGTCTTCGTCATCATATTCATCGGCATGGGCTAAAGCATATTTCTCAAAATCATTGGGAGTAGCTACACGCTCTTTCTTGGTTTCTGGTTCTGGTTCGGTTAATCCCAAAGAACGATAAATTGCTTCCAATTCATTAATGGCCTCCTCCAAGTTGGCCGGTTTCTTGCGTGGAAAACTCAACTGTGGTATATGAGGAACACCACTTAGCTTCCTCTGCGGTGGCTGAGGAGCATCAAACAAGGGATTATGATGTTGCTCGCGACGTTCATTAACATATTCCTCATATTTATTGGGTGTAGTGGGTATTTCCCCTGAACGTCTATGATAATGATTGGGCATGGATTGGGTCTTATTGTCATCTTTGTTTCGTATTTCCACATAATTATTGCTGCTATCCTGAGTAGGTTTGATATGCAAAGATCCGCATATAACACTATCCACTTCATCGCCTCCGGTGGCCGGGGGGGAGGTAGTGTTTTGCATAGGTGAAGTTTTATTTTTGGGCTTATAAACCTCCGAATACATGGGCACTTGATAGGCTCTCATTTCTCCCACACGGGAGCTAGACACAGAACGTGGTTTCATGGTTACCTCGACACCAGCTGAACGCTGTATATCTCGACCACGTGGTGCTGGTGTGGGTGTATTCACATTCTGGGCAGAACCCTCCAAACGTTTCCAGAATTCTGTAGCATTGGTCTTAGTAGGCGATGTTGGCAATCCACTCTTAGTGGTGCGCAAAATGCCATTCGATTGGGGTTCATTGATGTCATTCTCAAATGTGCTCGGTTCCAGCATATGTATGGGTTTGCGAGAGCGTGGCGTAGCATCGGCAACATAATGAAAATCTAAACCATTGGGCAAAGATTTCTTACCAGGTTGAGCATCTCTTTCGGCTCTGGTAATGAATCTACGATTAGTTGGTGCCGCAGTTTGCTGATTTGCCTGATTGGGTGTAATATTTAGCGAGTGTATGGATTGATAATGGGGCTGTTGCGCCCAAATCTTGTCATCCGATACACAACGACCATTTAAACCCGATGTGGGCAAGACCGGCACTCCTGTTTGATCAAAGGCATATGAAATAGGTCTCAAATCCCCAGCACTGCCATCCTGAAGATGACCACTAACATTTACCCTCCTTAAAGGATCCCTTGGAGGTGGTGGTGGCGGCATGGGTTTATTTTGCAATCTGCCATTGGCATTTTGCAAGTGTATATGACTGTCATAGCTAATGCTACGTTTGGTATCATTGACCGAGTTTTGTAAGTTCTTTGGTTGCTGCTGTTGCATTTGATTCCATTGGACATATGGCGCCATATGTTGCAAACTATTCGTATTACGCAATTTGGAGTATTGGCCGCTTTGGGAGGTGGAAGAACGCATTTGAGGCTGAGGTTGTTGCGGTGCAGCCACTTGCTGTTTGGGAGGCTGGTAAATCGATAAAGGCACCGGTTGGGTCTTCCATCTTTGAGTAGGCTGTTGAGCATACATAACGGGAACCTGCCCGTGACTAACCTCACCATCACGCGATAAACGTTTGTAGTAACGTTCATTGCGTGCAGCCCTTGATCTACGACTTTGGCCATTATTGACATGAGCCTGACCGCCACTATGAATACTTTCATCACTGCGGTATTTGGCAAAAGTGGTAGAATTTAGAGAGATTATCTCCTCTTCCGAAGAGGAACCTACCACCTCGGCGGCTGTTACACCATTTGTGGCCAATTTTTGCGCCGAACGCTGTTTAGCCCGGGCCGTTCTACGATCCAAAGAGTGAGCAGATCTACTCATCATTTGTTGTTGCGTTTGAGGTACATGCGGCAGGTACTGTTGAGAATGATGCAAACGCTGTTGCGGCTGTGGCGCCTGCACTTGAGAATTATTTTGATAATAAGGCTCCTGAGCCGGTACAGTTTCCACAGGCAAGAAAAATTCATTATCCACATGTTGCACTGAGGACGAACTCAAATTCTGTGAACTATTTCCCGTGTTGCCGGGACTCACAATGACATGATCAAAATTACCGCTCATTAACTTGCTGCCACGACTAGCAGATTTCGATGATTTGGTTTTCTTATTTGGCGTTGAAGTGATGGCGGCCGCAGAGTTACTAGCGCTGCGATTATATTTTGGCGCGGGCACAAAACCAGCCTTACGGTCCTCTTCCGACGAGGATTCCGATTCAATTTCCTTCTTACGACGAAAGAAGCGTCCAAAGGACCATTTCTTATTCGAGTTATTGGCATTGTGACTGGCATTCGAGAGCTGCGAACCGTTGAGGGAAGAGTCTTTTTTATTGTTGCTACTTAAATGAAATCGTTCCATATCGCTGTCGATGATTTGTATTTCGTCGATGTCGACGTCGTCGTCTTCTGGTTGCAAATGCTGAAGGTGATGATTACGAATTGATGTTCTCATTTGAGAGATGAACTTCTTTTGGTAGGGGCAATGTGGTCGCCACGACGATTGGACAGTCTGTAAAGAGAGGGAAAGAGGGATAAATTAAATAAAAATCGATTTTTTAAGAAAACTAAAGGAAAAAAGAATGATAAAATGAGAAAACAAAATAATTAGAAAAGAGAAAGAATTGATTTAAAACTGAACTATAACTCAAGTAAAACAGAATTAGAATTGAAAACGAACTGAACTAGAACTGGACTAAATTAACTAAACTAGCACTTAACTAAGACTGTACAAGAACTGGAATCTAGAGCTGAGCTAAAACTGAACTAGAACCGAACTAGAACTGGAACTAGAAACTGAACTAGAACGGAACTAGAACTGAACTAGAACTGAACTAGAACTGAACTAGAAACTGAACTAGAACTGACTAGAACTGACTAGAACTGACTGAACTGAACTAGAACTGAACTAGAACTGAACTACGAACTAGAACTGAACTAGAACTGAACTAGAACTGAACTAGAACTGAACTTAGAACTGACTAGAAATGAACTAGAACTGAACTAGAACTGAACTAGAACTGAACTAGAACTGAACTAGAACTGAACTAGAACTGAACTAGAACTGAACTAGAACTGAACTAGAACTGAACTAGAACTGAACTAGAACTGAACTAGAACTGAACTAGAACTGAACTAGAACTGAACTAGAACTGAACTAGAACTGAACTAGAACTGAACTAGAACTGAACTAGAACTGAACTAGAACTGAACTAGAACTGAACTAGAACTGAACTAGAACTGAACTAGAACTGAACTAGAACTGAACTAGAACTGAACTAGAACTGAACTAGAACTGAACTAGAACTAGAACTGAACTAGAACTGAACTAGAACTAGAACTGAACTAGAACTAGAACTAGAACTGAACTAGAACTGAACTAGAACTAGAACTGAACTAGAACTGAACTAGAACTGAACTAGAACTGAACTAGAACTGAACTAGAACTGAACTAGAACTGAACTAGAACTGAACTAGAACTGAACTAGAACTGAACTAGAACTGAACTAGAACTGAACTAGAACTGAACTAGAACTGAACTAGAACTGAACTAGAACTGAACTAGAACTGAACTAGAACTGAACTAGAACTGAACTAGAACTGAACTAGAACTGAACTAGAACTGAACTAGAACTGAACTAGAACTGAACTAGAACTGAACTAGAACTGAACTAGAACTGAACTAGAACTGAACTAGAACTGAACTAGAACTGAACTAGAACTAAACTAGAACTGAACTAGAACTGAACTAGAACTGAACTAGAACTGAACTAGAACTGAACTGGAACTGAGCTAGAACTGAGCTAGAACTGAACTAGAACTGAACTAGAACTGAACTAGAACTGAACTAGAACTGAACTAGAACTGAACTAGAACTGAACTAGAACTGAACTAGAACTGAACTAGAACTGAACTAGAACTGAACTAGAACTGAACTAGAACTGAACTAGAACTGAACTAGAACTGAACTAGAACTGAACTAGAACTGAACTAGAACTGAACTAGAACTGAACTAGAACTGAACTAGAACTGAACTAGAACTGAACTAGAACTAACTGAACTAGAACTGAACTAGAAATGAACTAGAAATGAACTAGAAATGAACTAGAACTGAACTAGAACTGAACTAGAACTAAACTAGAACTGAACTAGAACTGAACAAGAACTGAACTAGATTTTAACTAGAACTGAAATTCCAAAATTCCTTCATCTCCAATGATTTAATTTTTATCACAATTATGTTCAAATATATTTCATTTGTGGAAACAATTTTAAAATTTGTTTATAACTCATTAAAATATAATAAATTTTCAGAAACCCATCTACGCATTTCACACTTGAGATTTATAAAATAATTTAGTAATTTTTCGTCACCTCATTTGTTTCTTGAGAGAACATTAAAGAGAATTTTCACATTTGTTTCAAGACGTATTTAGCTAGCCCACCTTTGTTTATATTTTAATTTGTTGTTTTTTACAAATATTAAAAAATTAAAGAGAATTTATTAATATTTTTTTTAATAAATTTAGCTTATCACACAAAAACAACGAAAAACTTTTTGAGAATTTGGCAAAAAAAACTAGTTTCCTGATAATATTTTCAAACTAAAAACAATAAGAAACTTTATCGCTAAACTTTTCTATGATGTCAGAGGTTGGTTGTTAGAAAATGTCTAAATTAAAATCAAATATATTTTTCAACATTTCTCTTGATGTATTATCAGCATACATATGTATTTATGAATAATAAAACAAAATAAATCATAAAACAGATGTAAGACCACAACAATTTTAGACATCTACAAACGTTGTATTGTTTTTAAAATAAATATTTACATCAGCAACCTTGTTCAAGTTCAATTTTCGAGGAGGAAGAGGTGGGAAGGGGGCCAAGATAAGTGCGTGTATTAAAATTAAAATAATTATAGTTTTTTTGTGTACTTTATTTTGTTTAAAACATATCGTAGAAGAAAAATGTTTATGTTAAAAAAAATATGGTGAAACGAGGGTTAATTCTAAAATGAGTTAAGGGAACTAATTATTAAAATTTAAAACTCTTTTTAAAGCAAAAAACCGATTTTTTATATTGAAGTTAGAGTTATCTGAACTTTACTTTAGAGTCTTTATATTTGACTGCCTCGTAGACTATATATTGTTTGTATTATATTGAACTTTGTGTTAAATTTTAGCACAAGAACTGAGAAAGATATCAGGCATATTATTTAAAAAAATTTCATATTTTCATATCTAAAAATAGTTCGCACTTCAATAAAAAAGCTGTAAATAGTTTTAACTGATAAAATCGCTATCTATTCTATAGAGACAACTAAAATAAGCAAAAATTCTCACTAAAACGAATTAGTCAGTTTTGAACCAATACTTAATAAGATGAATCCTTAATAATGGTCATTAATCGGGTATAATCCTGGAAATACAGCAGTTAGTTTCTATTAACATATTCTTTCATACATCAAAAAAAGTTAACAATTTAATTGAATCAATTAAATCGCTATTTTGTTAAGGACTAAATGTTACTTTTAAAATATATTAAGATTATTATTAAATTATTTATAGATTCACATATTTACAACAAAAAACACACACATACACTTTTTGCAACTTTTTCATTATAGCCATGATTGGGGAATTCAGGAATGATGTTGTTACCACTTAAGTTGCTTCTGCTATTACTATTAATATGACTTAAATCATTTAATTTGTTAATGTTGTTAATAGAATTATTGTTGTTGTTATTGTAATTACTATGACCACAACGTATATAAATAAATCCCTCATTACTACGTGACGAAGCGGATTTTTTATTATGATTTTGATTGTTATTATGACGTTTTAAAGGAAATTTAAACATAATGACTAAAGTTCTTTACGTTTAGAATTTAACAATTAATTATTTTTATACATAAAAACACAACACACTATTTTACAATTTAGCAAAAAAGAAAAATTAAATAAAAAAATATACACATCGAAGCAAAAACTAAAAAAAAAAACAAAATAAATTAGAAAATATGTTTATATTTAGATAGATTGAAACAAGTACAAGATAGAAGAAAATTAACACTTTAAGGGTAAGTTGTTTTTAAATGTATTCAGAAACTACAACTGAACTAGAACTGAACTAGAAAAACTAGAACTGAACTAGAACTGAACTAGAACTGAACTAGAACTGAACTAGAACTGAACTAGAACTGAACTAGAGCTGAATTAGAACTGAACTAGAACTGAACTAGAACTGAAATAGAACTGAACTAGAACTGAACTAGAACTGAACTAGAACTGAACTAGAACTGAACTAGAACTGAACTAGAACTGAGCGAGAACTGAACTAGAACTGAACTAGAACTGAACTAGAACTGAACTAGAACTGAACTAGAACTAAACTAGAACTGAACTAGAACTGAACTAGAACTGAACTAGAACTGAACTAGAACTGAACTAGAACTGAACTAGAACTGAACTAGAACTGAACTAGAACTGAACTAGAACTGAACTAGAACTGAACTAGAACTGAACTAGAACTGAACTAGAACTGAACTAGAACTGAACTAGAACTGAACTAGAACTGAACTAGAACTGAACTAGAACTGAACTAGAACTGAACTAGAACTGAACTAGAACTGAACTAGAACTGAACTAGAACTGAACTAGAACTGAACTAGAACTGAACTAGAACTGAACTAGAACTGAACTAGAACTGAACTAGAACTGAACTAGAACTGAACTAGAACTGAACTAGAACTGAACTAGAACTGAACTAGAACTGAACTAGAACTGAACTAGAACTGAACTAGAACTGAACTAGAACTGAACTAGAACTGAACTAGAACTGAACTAGAACTGAACTAGAACTGAACTAGAACTGAACTAGAACTGAACTAGAACTGAACTAGAACTGAACTAGAACTGAACTAGAACTGAACTAGAACTGAACTAGAACTGAACTAGAACTGAACTGAACTAGAACTAAACTAGAACTGAACTAGAACTTAACTAGAACTGAACTAGAACTGAACTAGATCTGAACTAGAACTGAACTAGAACTGAACTAGAACGGAATGATTTTGAAATATTTTTTTTTCAAAGTTTGTAGTAAAATATTTTTAGTAATTCATCAACACTTGTCACGTTCCTTAAAAGGTTAATTTCTTGTTGCTTGTACTTCAAATTTATCATTATTATATATTTTTTTGCCGGAAAATTAAATAAATAAATAGAAACATGAAAACACACAACACAAAATAAAAATATTGTATAAGAAATGAAGAAAAAAAAAACTAACTAAAACACCAGCAAAATGAAATATTGGGCAAAAGGCCAATGATTTTTTGAAAAGATTTTGAAAAAAGCAAATATTTTTTAAGGGATCAAAATAACGACACAAATTTTAAAAATAATGATCGAATGAGTTTTAATAGATTATTACAACACCAATATTTTCCTCTTTAAAAATTTTAAAATTTTTTTCTACTTTAATTAAAATCACAAATATTTT